TGTATGTTGACTGTAACGAACCATCACTTTATCTGAGGCGTGAGCAATTGTCCCTTTTGCAATATTTTAATATTCTATCCCAACCTGAACATCCCAATAAGCTGTGCTTACTTGATGAATGAGTGTAACGTTTTATTTGAAACACGTCCATCCTGCGTTCCTACCTTTCCTTTAAGAGTTCGCCCTGTCATTGAGGAACATTCCCTCTCTGATATGCGCCCCCAAGCAGTACAGAATTTTGAAATTCCACCTTGGGAAAATTCACGGATTCAGCTTCTTGATGTTTTCAAACATCACGTGAAGGCAAGCACTAACGAGATCGTTTACAGACAACTCTTCGCTGAGCACAGGCACAAATATAGCAGTTATTATCCGATATACAGATGGATCAAAGTCAAATGATCATGTCGGGATGGCATTTGTATTTGAAGATTACATAGAGGGCAGATGCCTGCACCATGCTTTCTCAGTCCTAACATCTGAACTAACTGCAATATATTATGGTCTTTTGTACATCTCAAAGCTCTGCCACAAAAAGTTCATAGTTTATACAGACTCGTATAGTGCTCTTAAATCTTTGGAAGCTTTTCCCAACACTCAGAATCCTGTGGTAGTGGATGTTCTCAAAATTCATATAAACTTAACGATTCGAGGATATGAAGTCCTGTACTGCTGGGTTCCTGGACATGCTGGAATAAAGGGAAATGAGCTTGCAGATATCGCAGCCAAATCTGCTGTTGAACTGTCCAGTCGCCTTATCCTTTTTAGAGATATCTGCTGTGTCATCAAGGGAAAGGTCCGAAAAAAATGGCAGCAAATTTGGGATGTTCAGCATCAAAACAAGTTAAGACAAGTAAAGCCTAGAATTGAGCATTGGGAATCTACCAAAAATCGTAAGGAGGAAGTTCTTTTGACTCGCCTCAGAATTGGTCACACTAGAGTGACACATACCTTTTAAAAGCTGACAATGAGCCTGTGTGTTTTAATTGTAATGTTTGTTTATCTGTTCGTCATATTTTAATTGAGTGTCCATGTTTTAATAGTCTTCGCCAGAAATATTTTAATAGCTGTGACTTACCTCTCGACCGTTTAATCGGAAGAGAGGTCAATTGTAATTTATTTTATTATTTAAAAGAGACTGGCTTTTATTACCTAATGTAATTTGTTTTGAAGATTGTGTCTTGAATTTTAAATGTGTGCTTTTAACTTGTTTTTATATGACTTCATCCTCTGGATTTGATACATTTGTCTACTTGTTTTTATTTATTGTATATTAATTTCATCAGTTGCACACCCCCATCTCGTGTTTGGCGCAATATAACCATCTTTGGCTTTGCGCCATAATCTCTCACTCACTCACTCACTCTTTAACACAGGAAGACCTCGAACTGAATGTCTCTCACTGGTCCTGACAATAGCACCATAATTTATATGACCAAACCGACCATGCCGTAATTCACTATTGTTATGTTGAACTATGGATGCTTCAAATTTCACAGATTTGCCCCCTTTTTTCATTATTTTTGGGAATACATGATAGTTAATTCCTATCAATCTAGCCTTGAAAATAGTTTCATTTTCATCATTAGTAATTTTAATTTGCCCATTTTTACCATAAAATCTTGCTCCATTGATATCCACCTTAGGTCAAGATATTAAATTTCGTCTCAGTTCAGGTGAGTATAAAACATCTTTAAACAAAATAATTCTATCCTCAAATTTAATTTTAACAGTACCTTTCCCATGAATTGGAAAAGTTGCCCCATCAACAGCTACCAGCATATTCTCATTCTTCACAGGAGAAAAACTATCATACAATTCACGATTTTTACAAAAATGATGAGATCAGTATCAAAATCCAACTATCATAATTTTCCTCCAAGTTGTTAACATTAGCTTGAGCTATAAAAAGGGACTGAGCATGGGAATTATTTTTACCTTTACATCAACTTGGGTTTATTCTTACACTTAGGGGGATGTTTTATTACTACTAGATACAGCTGAGGAAACAGAAGAAGCAGGCAGGGTGAGTGATCTGGAAAAATTACCTTTCATTCTACAGTATTTTTGAATATGACCTGGACGGCCACATTTATAACACTTGAGCCCTTTAATCTGCTTAAATTTGGGTTCACAGTGAGTACTTTGAACTTCTATAGTCTTATTGGAATTTTCCCTATCTATCTCTCTTAAATTAAGACGTGTTCCTCTGCTAGAATTTCAAGTTCAACATTTTTAAATATGAACTTTTCATCTGGCAACCTCAAAACTTTCTGAACTACCTGATCATATTTTTCTGGAAGAAACCTAAGAAACTGAAAACATATATAGACATCTCTTACAGCTTGATTAATATCAGCCAATTGTTCAGTAATGCGTTTTAATCTAGAAGAAAAGAAACTAATACTTTCATTTGGCTTAATTTTACAATTTAAGAACTCTGAAAACAAGAACATATGTCTGAAAACAAGAACATATGTCTAGATCGATAATCTGGCATTTAGCAAGTGTATCCCATGCAATTACAGGATCATCTATTTCACTTATTAAGTTCCTATATTCAGGTTCAGGGCTTACGTTCATATAAATCAATGATAATGCCAAATGACTTCTATTTTGATAGTCGGCAACAATTTCTTTTCTAATACCCTTAACATAATTTAAATCAGGACATTTTTCAAGACCTTTAACCAAGAGATCATCAGTTTAAATCTGGTAAGATGGCATGCAGAAATTATAAAATTAAAAATATGAAACTGTAATTTAGGAAATAAATAGCAATTATAATCTAAAGGGTATGAAAATTTACAAAAAAATTAATATTTATTTGTTAACTTTGTTAAACATTTCTTTCAACGCGTGCGTGCGTAAAGTATACATTACGCATAGTTGAAATTAGAAAATTGCAACCAGAGAACTATTTGATGTGTATTCGTGATATTTATAATGATGAGGAATTTGATTTAAATCATATCAAAGAAGGAATGCATCGAGATGAAATGCTACAGTTAGTAAGGAATTATAAGCCAAATAAAATAAAAACAGCTGCCCTGAAGATAAGGATAGTGCTGACAGATCAACTTCCAGTTCATTGCGTGCCGCAACGTCCCTCGCAGAGCAGCAGCGTAAAATTGATAAACAGATTTCAGAATGGTTAGAGAAAGAAAGGATATGCCTTTATCCATTTTTTGCAGCAATTCCCTTTTTTTTTATGGACATCGAAACATGCTTTCGCTTTGTAGATCCTTTGGCAGCTCCAGAATCGGAAATTCTTTTTGACATAATCGAAAGTTCAAGCTTACTTTTATAAAATTCCTCTAACAGTCTGCAAAAAATAATAAGCCAGATCCAATTCGAAGATTAAGGAACAATGCAATCTGCAGCATTAACTGAAGTAGATAATTAGATAATTTTAGCTTAGCTTATACCGTCCGTTATACATTAAACATGCATGCGTAAACGTATTATGAGCATGTGTAAATGCATATGCGCATGCATAAAGGTATTATGCATTTACGCATGCACAGAAAGTTTGTAGCTTTGAGGTTCGGATTATAGATCATTCCGGATTATGGACGTCCAGATTAAAGACTTTTGACTGTAGTTGGTTTCTTATGATGCCATCTTTAACTGCTGTAGTGATTACATTTCCATGATATCATTTTCATTCCATTATATCATTTTCAGAGGCCCACTAGTAGCCAAATGAATAATAACAGCTGAATGCTGGCAGTTTGATCCAAGTTCAAATCCTAGAAATCAGACTGCTTGACAGTTTTCATTTCCCCCAATGTATAAATTAAATACAAGCCAATTTCCTTAAACAATTCTATTAGGCTGGTAACTTTTTTTTTTTTTTTTTTTGGTGTCTTAATTTAAGCTAGCTAGTTGCCAGATGCTCTGTTTTCGTAGATGAAGTACAGAATGGTTTTTCCCCCATGCTGTGTCTAATTTAAGCATTGAAGCACTGCAACTTGAAATTTCCTCAGAATTTCCAAGGTCAGTTATATGTCATATCATTTATGTTAGGACAGCTTCCAACTCACCTAGTTTTTCTTCATGTCTTCCAGTACATCACTGAATATCCTGGTTTTGAATTTTTAGCCTTTAACAAAGGAAACTGTTTTACAGCAATACATGAATGTGTTGAAATTGATGAAACTCGAATTAGGCAAATTTTGTTTCCCCCATCTCTGTTGATTTTCAAAATAAGTTTTCTTATTTAATTTTATTTCAACTGAATTATATTTTTAATACATTTTATTGATCTTACTAGATTTCATTTAATATGAGTTATAACCTTAGTCTACTATAGACATTAATATATTCTTATATGAAGATTCAAGCAGCATTTAATCAGTGAATATTTGTATGTATACTTCAGTGTATGATACATTACTAAGTTTATCCTCACAAGTACTATGTATATTGATTATTAAATTTTTCATCATACTTAAGAGTACTTTGTATAAATATAAAATCTTTTCTTCATTGCTCTGGATTTTCTTGTATAAAAGTGTAAGAAAATTTTTTAATGAAATTAGCTAGGGAGCATAAAATTTGAAATATTTAATTAAATGTTCATATATTTTATATCCGAATTGCATTGCAAATAGCCCAGTAACCTGAAACGTGCATTATAAAGTCAATAAAAGTCAGTTTGAAATTCTTTTGAAATTGTGTCACCACACAGCAAGGAAACCTTCTGCAAAAGTCTCCCAGTTTTTAAGATTTCAAAGATGGCAATTGTATATTTAATTGTCTAACTCGAACTACTTTTTGAGTAGAGTTGCAAGTTCAAAACATTTCATCCCAGTTATGCATACTAGTTTTGTTCTTTTATAAACTTTTGTATGTGTTAGTGGATTTTTTACTTATTTCAAATTCATATGAATTATTCGAAAAATTCAATTTGATTGCTTTTACTTTATAATCATGCATAAATGACTTGTTTTCTGGTTCTGCAATGCTTTTAATATATAACCATATTCCATTTTTAGATGAAGTAGACATAATTGGTTATAATAGTAACCAAAGTGATACTGATGATCACAGCAGCATCCAGAGTCTAACAAGTGATGGTGGTGTAGTCATCAGTACTAAAAGACATCCACTGGATGAGCAGACTGCCATCTAACACTGCCAGGTTTGTTGTCCTCCTCCGCTGATTAGCACAATAGACTGTGTCCAGATAGTTGTATTATATGGAAGGTTCTATGACCTCTACCAAATATATCTCATTGAGATCCATAATTGGGAAGGAATACAGTTGTTGATAAATGTATGTTTTGGATTAAAGGATACAAAATGGAGCACAACTATTGCTGATTCTTAGATTGAATGATGATGACTATTTTGCAATATGATTGCTGTTAATGTCTCAGATGCTGTCTGAAACAGGACTTGAAATACATGTAGTTGTTACTACATGATAAGAATTATCAGAGCCATTAAACGGGAGTAAAGTATGTCATTGAGCTGTGGAAAGTATAAATGAATGCTAAATAAATTTAGAATACATGCATTTACTCACAGTTGGTTAAAAGTTTGTTTTATATGTGATATTAGGCATTATAAAGTATTCTTATAACACAATTCATGATTGAAATTTTACAGAACTTGTCTGACCTAATATTTCAAGTCCTGTTTGCTTACATAAAGATAAATATTTTTGCCATCTGGTCTTAAAATGATCTTTCTACCAAAGTATTGAAGTAGTAGGTATATCATCCTACATGTGCAATTATTGCCATTTCATTTGGTAATTTATAAATATTAAGTATTTTGTTCGTATACATTCCTTTGTAATATTTTAAATGGTTGTTTTAATATGTTTAAAAAAATTAAATTGTGTAAATTATATGAATGTAAAATTTTATTTATATATAAATATATATATACGGTGTCATATGTTTGGTTTCTTAAGATTTCTCAGCATTTACTGGAAGTCATTGAGTCATATGACCATGGAAAGTAATTTGCATAGTTTCCAGCTGTCCCGGTTTTTATTCTCAACTCCCGGTCTCCCATCACCAACTTTCCCGGTTTTTAATTTTTAGCCTTTTACTAAGGAAAACTATAATAGAAAATACTCCCTATCAATAAATGCAATTTATTGAATCAATGAAACATTAAACTGTGCATATTCTATTCCTCCATCCTAATTATTTTCAGCATAATTCTTCTTACTAAATTTTATTTGATCTTAATTTAAATTGTCTTAATCTACTGTAGACATTAGTAGAATCTTTTCTGAAGATTCCACCCATGTTTGATGAGTTAATAATTTTTATTTAATTTAGCTGTACTTGTACATAGTGTGCTACTAATTTTGTCAGCACAATAGTGTATACATAAATTATTAATTTTATTTTCATTGTATTTAAAAGTACTATGGTATAAATAAAAACAGTCCTTATATACTCAGAATTATCCCAGCACAAAAGTGTAAAAAAATTCTAAAACTAAATTAGCTAAAAGAAAAAACTATCACTGTGCCATTCAAAAACTTCATAGAAATTTCAACTTTTCACGTGAGAACCTTCCGGTTTTATGTATTGCAAGGTTGGCAGCTACAAATTTCTGCCTGACTGTGCTACTAAAATATTTGCATTTGGCTTTTAACAAATTCCCATTTAAAAAAGTTCTTTTAAGAAAGGAAACAAATCTGACTGATATTTCCTAGAACAAGGGAGTATGCAGTTGCTCAATGATAGACATAGTCAGGTATAATAAAATGAGTAGAATATATTGAAAGATATTCGCTTAGATGCCTGTGTACGAAATACATTAAATTCATCTTTAATTAATATAAAACTTTATGTGCACCTTATAAAGTAGCCATGCTTAGTGTTTAAGATTTTGCTACATTTTACTGAATGAATTTGATTTACATACGTTTTTACCGATTTCTTAACAGGTTTTTTTTTTTTTTTTTTTATTTTGGATATGGAAATTTCTATAACGTTACTTGTTCTTAAGTAAGAGAAGTCTTACTAAACTCCTGCTTAACTGAATTGCAGATTAACTGGGCCCAATCTAGGAAAAACGTTTTTTGCAGGCCTGTGAAAAAGTGTTTTGTTTTTGAAAATCATAAAGAAAAAAACAAGAATGCATGGAAAAGAACAATGAATATGATGGTGATATTAATATACCATTTTCTTAATTGGTCATAATCCGAAATATATAAGCATCGTTAAATTGTCCATTAATAAACAGCTCAGCTGTAAAATGGTGTAAAATGTTACTGTGTTTCATGTTAACCCCTTTTGAAGTACAACAGCAATGTAAATAAATGCAGTACATGTCCCCTCGCCAAAAAGGGAAATGACTAAGTGATAAAACCTCTGAGTATATTATTATGAGGGTACACTTTTAGCTTTTAGAAACTATTTATTTACAATCTTAGAATGTATAATCACAGAGAACTGCAATACCAGCATAGTTCTATTTTCAAATCTGTATCCAAAGTGTTGCCAATTACAAGTTACTAAATATTAAATGTTACCATTGACAAATTATTAAATATTACATCTTCTGTTTTTTAAAAAGTTCAAAAGTTTTAACAGTCTAACATCAGCCCAAATACCTGGCCGGCTTTCTAATCACTCTCCCACTTCTAGTTCTTAGCTCACCATTCCTTGTTTCTGAGTTAGCAGAGTTTGGTAGTTGATTTTCTAAACTTTGCCCTTGAGAATATCTGGAATCATATCCTTTTACATCTGTTTTCTGTGTATTAACTCCTTGTTCTGTTCCTCTGATATTCTCTTTAACAGCTAAACTGTTTTCTCTAATATCTTTCCTATTTCTTCTCAATACTGATCCACCTGATCTAAGTATATATGATCTACGTGTCTTATGCACTTCTTCTACAACTGCTGGTTTCCAGCGATTATCTTGATATACCCGAACACAATCTCCTTTATTTAGCGATGGTAATGTTTTTGTATGACGATCATAATATGACTTCTGTTTAGTTCTTTCTTGGTTGATTTTTTTCTTTTACATTTTTCACAAGTTGAGGCTTAAGTAATTCTTCAGATGTAGGAAGAATCGTTCTTGTTCTTCTACTCATAAGTCGTTGAGCTGGTGATCCTAGCATCTCATTAGTTGGAGTGTTCCTATGAGCTAACAATGCTAAATAAGGATCAGCATGATCTGCTTGAGCTTTCTTTAACAATTTCTTCGCCGTTTGTACTGAACGCTCTGCTAATCCGTTCGACTGTGGATGGTATGGACTGCTTGTTATATGTTTAAATTGGTATTTGTTTGCAAATTCTTTACTTGCAAACTGAGGTCCATTATCAGATATCACTATTAATGGTATACTGTATCTTGCAAAATGAGATTTCATGTAACTGATCACTGTCTGACTTCGAGTATCTGGTAGTTTGGAGATTTCAAAAAAGTTGGAATAGTAATCTACAATTAATAAATATACATTTTTGTTAACCTCAAATAAATCTGTCGCAACTTTATACCAAGGTAAATTGGGAATTTCATGTGGTATCATAGGCTCTCTTATGTTTTTGTTCTGGTATTCATTACATATAGAACATTTCGAAATTTTATCTTCTATGTGCTTGTTCATAAGTGGCCAAAACAAAACATCTCTAGCTCTTTTCTTACATTTTTCTATACCAAAATGACCATTTACAAATTGTTAATATTAAATGGTAATATTAAATGTTACCATTTACAAATTATTAAATATTACACTGAGCACTGGTAGTTCAGTCTGTGCTTCGAATCCAAGACTAGCTGCATGGCCGTTTTCCATGGTTTTGTCCTTGTGCAACATGTATACAAGCCAATTTCATTTAGAAAGTCCTCCACCAAGGCATGCCTGCTCTTAGGCAGATAGCTTTTGAGTGCTTTGCTACGTAGTTATAGAAACCAAACCAAACTCCAAGAAAGAAAATTTAGCAGGTGCTCTTCTGTTGGCTTCATCTCTCTCATCTTACTCCTGATTTGTTATTTCTGACATATTTTCCATAATTCCTTCAAATTTTTCTCAAGTAACTGCCCCGTATACATATAATTTGTTTTTCATTGTCAAAACGTTTTTGTGATCAGTGGTACTATTTCAAGTAATTTTGCTTTGCTTTTGTAAGAAAAATGTATTAAAAAAGTACAAGTTTTTAGTTCTTTCCATTCATTAAAAACTTGAACTAACTACTAAACTGAAGAATAGATCAAGCATGATTTGATATCTTTATTGTATAACGTAGACTAGCAAACTGTGTTTGATTTATATTAAGGAACTGAAGGGGGAAAAAATCATGGGCAAGGACTTTAATAAAACTGTGTTGGAGTGGTTTCGCAGGCACAGTGAAATCCTATAGTAAAATTATTTGTATTAGAATTTTTTTCTAAACAATTAGGATTTGAAGGCGAGTTCAGTGCATCATTGGAATACCACATATGATTCAAAAAGTGCCATGGCATTCTAGAGTGAAAATTGAATTTCTAAGCAGTAACTAATGCTGGAAAGGATTTCTGAAATAAGTTTAATAAGTTAGTGTGGTTGAAAAATTGCTTTTAGAACAAATACATGATGTTGATGAATCTGGTTTATTGTAAAAATGCTTATCTACGAAAACACTAGTGTTTGAAAAAGATAAAAATGCTCCTTAATTACAAGACCAGTTAATCATTTGTAACAATTGTGGTAGGAAATTATAAACTGAATCTGGTTGTAAATCAGAAAGGTGTAAATACTGAGGTCTTTTAAAAGGAAGAAAGCAAATCAACTATTTGTTCCTTATTTGTCAGGAAAAAATGATAAAAAAATAATCATTTTTCAATAGTAATTAAAAAAGACTTCCTGAAAAAGCAGTCTCAGTGTTAGATGATTTATCATGCCATTCAAGTGAGTTAGTACTAAGATCTAAAGATGGAAATGTATTTTAAAATGCTTGCTTCGTAATATGACAGCTGTAATACAGGGGTCATTGCAACAGTCAAATAGAAATACTGCTCTTTAGTATTGTGTAAATTCATTGAAGAAAGCTAAGATCTTGCAACATTTTAAAAAACATTTTCAATCTTGCATGCAGTCTTTGAGAATGCAAAAGGTAAGGCCATCATTCTCAAGAAATCTTGGAAGAAATTTCTGCTGACACAAAAATTATTACTCGCAGATCTTGCCTGGATGACAAGCAATGTGCCTGGCAATAAAAATGTGGATAAGAAAAACATTTTGGAATGGGTACAGTATGATTATGAGTTGCCCAGATTTGAAATCTTCACCGACATATAAATTATGAATTGTGCAAAAGGCAGAAATCAAGAGACAATGAGTGAGAAGCGAGGAGCTGTCAGAAGACAAAATAGCTCATGCACAGTGTGTAGGTTTTACTGTATCACATACCTACTTAGAAAGGGAATATGATAGTCATGAAAGAAAACTTTGCCAAAAAGCAAAACGTTCTAACTGAATTCTTATACAAATTTTAAACTTAATAATATTGTTATATTGTACTTGAATGTCATAACTTATTTTCATCATTTCTGATCATGCATGTTCATATGTATAATGGGTTCTTTTTTTACTATTGATGTAACTTATGTAACTAAATGAACTTATTCTCTAGATTAAACTGATACAGGTAAATTCTAAATATCTTCTATCAATTATAATACTGGTTATTCCTTCTTTTGATTCTAACTGCTTTTGTATCAACAGTAATATTGCATTAATCATGTGTGTCATTCACATTATTACCTTTGTTAATTGAAAGTCTACCATAGTTGTATTTTTTTTAAAAAAATCTTCAGGTAGTAACTCTTAATTTTTAAACGGACACATTTAAAATGTTGAGCAAGCTAGGATGCTAAAAAATGTTTTATTTTTTTGGAATGACCTCTAGGACATGCACTTAATGTTAATTCTAAACCAAGCATAAACACCATGTGTATATATGTATATATGCAATTTTAAGTGAGTAATTAAGAGTATGAAATATATCTGATATGCCATATTAATTTTAAAATTGTAACTTTTGGCATTTGAATTTCAGTCTTCAAAATATACTCATTCAAATTGCTATTTAGATTTATTTGTTAAAGCCGTTGTGAAAGAACAGGAGTTTATTTTAATATATGGATTTTTATATTTACTTTTTATTTTATAGATTATGAAGTTGTGTGTTGAATGAATGTTTGAATATAATTTCTGTTTTAAATCTGAGTTAAATAGCTAAATATTATGTATATTAATTTACTGAAAACATTTAAAGAATTTCATCCATTGTATATCTGTTCTAATATGTATCTTCTACCACTTAAATTTGGGATTAATGAATTCATAAATGTTCAGTCATCTGTGTTAATGTGGCCATACACACACATGATGTGTGTATGCCCATTAAGACTGTACGTGTGCATGTGTATGTGTATGTATGCATGTGTATGTAGGTATATTAATTTGTGAGAGAGTGGCCATGTTTACTTCAAGATATATATTTGTATATGTTATACTAATGCATTTTAATTTCATTGGATATTTAGTTTTTAATTTATGATTAAATTATTAGAAACAAAATGCTTATATGTGAATAGAAGAGCACTTTTATTTTAAATCATTTTTAAATCTTTATGATATAATTCAGTCATTCTTTCAATTTGTGGTGGTGTAGAACAAAGCAAAATCGTTCTATTCTGCCAAAATATGTTTTATTATGAAGTATTATACCTCTTTATTTTAAAATATTAGCAAACTATATGTTATGTTTTCATTTTTATTATGAAATCATCAACATTTTAAAAACCAAAATGCTTGTTCATATATTACATATCATAATGCATTCAGCATAATTGCAATGATTATAAATTCACTAAAATTTATGCAGTCAAATTGTTCATTTTGTTTAATTATTTGTCTTAATTTTTTAATGCTTAATTTTTATTGTAAATTTTTTTTCACTTACATTTAAATTTAGGGAGGGAGAGTTATCTTGTTTTACACCATTGGATTGCGTTTTGTCAAATAATCATCCTCTTAAGTGGAAGGCCTTTTTATTTTCTAATTCTGTTTTATGATTTAAATCATTTGTACATATTGTACTTCATACTATTTATCAGTAGAAATGAAAAACTGAAATCAAAATTGTTGAATTGATAAATCAGTATTTTTTTAGCTTTGTATGAAATTTAAATGTTCTTTTGAGACTTAAAAAATACTGATCCCAGTATCCAGAATAAAAGGCAGGATAAAAAAAAAAATCAGGCAGAAAATTTTATCCTTTAACTTGTAAAGATTATCCAGTGACCTTCAAAAGCTAAATTTAAATAATAAAATTTCTTTGCCCGTAGATCTTGAGAAGTTGAAGTCATAAAATATTAGTTTTTGTATTCACTCTTTCATTATCTATAAATTTATATAACTCATTCATCTAACAGTTTCTTAAATTTTAATGCTCAGCGACAATACTCAAACTTACGTGTAGTTTACACAGTTATTAGTAACTACTTATTTACTCAAAAGAAGTTATCCCCGATTGAAGTAAATATGTATTGCTTGTTTTCTAACTGAAAAGCATTGTGTGCAGTCTCATAAAATCAATATTTTGCTGTATATTTTAAACCTTCTTGGCCTAGTAAGGCATGAGAATGCAAGAAATCTCATAGTGTAACCACAGCGAACATGACGGGTTCATTGCAATATTTTTACGATGCAGGTTGTATGTTATGTTATTAAGAAAATCATTCAATAAGTTCAGTTGCATGAATAAAAAGGAAATAAAGAAGAAGTTGAGCTTGCTTTCCCATCAGTATTTACAGTAATCATATGCATATGATATATAAGGGGGGAAGGAGTACATCTGTCTAATCAGAGACATAAATATTGCATGCTAGAAAGTCTACATAAAAAATGTCTGTATAATGTAATTATTTTTTTATACTACTGCCAATAATGTGAGGAATGGCAAAACATCATGTTAATAAGAGCCTCATGTTAGAATTATGAGACATCTAAGAACTGCAGTTATATCTTTGGTATTTTAAAGGTAGCAAAACAGTTTTTACATTACAGGAAAGAATCATTTCAGATTGAATGAGGTTTTTGCATTCTTTAATTAGTATGGTGATTTTTAAACTTGTGTCTTATTCCAATTTTTTTGCATTCTGAAAATACAGTAATGTAATTAAAAATTTTAAACGTTTCTATACTGTACCAGACTCCTCCTTTAAAATAATAAGCATTTTCCTCTGATTTTCAATTGTTTCCTTTTCTGATTGTAACTATCTATTCATTTAAGTAGGAGTAAATTAAAAGAAAAAGATTGTGTACTGCTGTTTAAAACACTATTCATTGAACTGAGTAGAAACACAGTGGTGTGAAAAACTGAAGCATTTTCCCCCCGTCTTTCATGCACGCTGCTTTGAAAAGAGTAAAAACAAATGTCTGCCTTAACTGTGGAAAAATTGCAGTTGAGATTTGGAAATTATTTTAAAATAAACTTATGCTTCACTAGGCTTTTGCATAAGAAATATAAATTTAGTTTTTTCCTCACGTAGCTAACATGAAAAGAAGGGATCACATGTAGCCCCGGAAGTATAATGTTGTTAGACATGAGTTTTTCTCTTTCTTCATTGCAAATTACAGCTGTGCATATTTATAGTTGTAATTTGCAAAGGAGATTCATGTATTTATTGTAAGGAAGATCAGTATGCATCTAACATAACATTTATCAATGAATACGTCCTGCTCCTGTCCTGATAGGTTCTATGTTTTATAAAAATAGTATCATGGCTGTAGGTTAGGAAACTAAAGTCACCTTTTAATTATTACTTTGCAGTTGAGTGACTAGTGCATATTTTTGATATATCATATGCATAATCTAATTTAGAAGTTAAAATTATTATTTAAAAAAGAGCTTGCCATAATGCAGTATGTGGCTTGAATTATGATTGTATATACAACTTAGATTACTGCTTGTTACAGTTATCTTGTGGGCCAAGCAAGTCAAATATCTTCGTATAGTTTTAGATTAAAGACTCGCATGATCCCCACACATTACATATATTTATTTAAAGCTTCAGAAATCTAAACTTACTCCCTTAATTGGCGCAAACTCAGTTCTCCCTGTAGATAATAAGTTAATGATTTACAAGACCATGTTGCGGCCTATCATCACTTATGCCTGTCTCATCTGGGATTTTGAATGTAAAACTCAAATTTGTAAAATTCAGTGATTTCAAAATATTATTCTTTAGCTAATATGTAAATGCAGATGGTTCATTAAGAGGCAAGCTATTTATGATGAGCTTAATATAGATTCAATTAATTGCAAAAAGATATTTAAGAATATTATCGATGTAAATAACAATTCACTCCCATTAATGGATTATGATTATTTAGAACCTAACAATCGCAAGCGGCCAGGACCCATATGAATGCATTTTTTGTAATTTCTTTATGCTAGTATAGTATATGATATTAATTCTTAATGGAACTTATCTATATCTTGCATTTAAATTATTTTTCTAACTCATTCCCTTTCCTCTGTTTTTCGGTTTTCCCTTCTAAAAGCATGGCATATGAAAAGAGTTTCTAGCCTATCCACTAATTCCGTGATTGCTATCTATTATGCACTCTTTCTTACAGCTAGTTCGTACTCTCCAAATTTTTAATGGTCCTGAAACTGTGCTGTCTTCACGAAAGAGCTGCACCTCCAGTTCAGATGTCGTTCATTTGAGCACTGACGATCGTACTTGTTGCTTCACTGCCTCACCTTTCAGACATGCTTATCTGTGCTAATAATTGCTTTATCATTCTCCATGCTTTTACTCAGACTTACTGTATCTCACAAACATCTGTTCATGTTTATTTAATCATCTATAATTTATTATTACAAACTGTTGCATTGGGTGCTGATATTTTGAAGTTACATCTCTCACATATATGCTATTAAGAAAATGCTATGTTTAAACAATCAACACATTGTACCCAGGATGGGGCTAACCTTGATCGTGCACCAGTGACTCCCCATCTTTACCTGTCTCTGCTCGTTACTGTGCAAGTCATATGTAATTGATCCAGAAGTTGCAGCTTGACTATGCATAGTCAATATAATTCAGATTACTGTGCAAGTCATATGTAATGGATCCAGAAGTTGCAGCTTGACTATGCATAGTCAATATAATTCAGATTACTTCTACCTGCCCCTGTCAAACAAGATAAAAAATTACATTATTTCAAGTGAATATCATATAAGAGTTAGCAGATATGTACTTAAAGAGAAAGCACAGTGAAAGCCATTTTAACATACCCCCTTTTCATTGTAAAACCAGTTGTCATTAGAAATCATATTTAGAGAAGTGACATGGGACATAAGAAAAATTCCATTCAAAGTCCACGAGAGTGTGAAACTTTAGTGCACAATGTGCCTTAGGGCTGTTTTGATGAGTAAACACAAACATGTCTTTACTACGCAAAAAAGGCTTTTTCAAGGCCAGCATAAAAATCAATATGTGTTTACTATATGAAAAAATCTGATGTGTACACCACATGACTTCCTTGTATGGAAAATTAAATTATACGCAATTTTTCTGCATTTCATTTAAACACATTGAATTAATAGTTAATGAATTTTGAATTAAATCTACTTCATCAATAGCACATAAACCACAATAGGATAAATGCAGTCTTTAAAGTTCACTATATTTATTTACCATAGCAACACTTCGGTGCTAGGTTCACTTAACAGCATTACATCTCATTCATTTTATTACTCAGAGTATATAAAAATTATATCATCTGAAGAATTACCACATTCTACTTAAATACTATAATAAATCTAAAATGATGTATAATAGATATTAAGCAAATAAAAAAGAAACTGTTTTTCACAGACGATTCAGCGCCACTTACCTAATGCGTATGCAATTCTAATTAATTCAGTTCTCACTTCGTGGCAAGTCAAAAATATGTAAAATTCAAAATATTTTCATTAAAAATTGAAATATATAGAAAAGCATAAGTACAGTACAGTTAAAAGTACCAAGTACAGTTGAAACAATTTTTACAATTAAAATTAGTTTCTGCACAAAAACAAGCTAATAACTTGAATGATAATTCCAGAATGAATTGAGCATAATTTAACTCGAAATAATAAAAGAAGACATTACTTTGGTATTGCGAAACTTAGTTTATCTAGAATGACAACAAATCCACTAATATGTTGTGTTTCAAATGTAAACAAATATGGCCGCCATGCTAAACAAAAATAAGCCACACTTAAAAAACTTAAATTGTTGATAATTCCACAATTACAGCATGCAGGTTAAGTAAAGGCATGAAAACCTTAACCAGAAAATAAGAACAACATAAATCAATCATTTTTAAAGCAAACAATGCTTAATTTACAACAGAGATTTAATTAATAACAGAGTAGACATATATATATTTGTATACTTTTGGTGAGGCCAATTGCAACCAAAAGGGGAGGTGCACATCTACATGCTATAGCAGTCCTATATACAAAATTTCAACATTCTGAGGCTACTCGTTTCTGAGTTATGTGGGTTACGTACGTACAGACGCCACAAAAAAAAATCTTCAGAATTCATTTTAAATCGGTTTTATAATGTTTTTTGGGGAAAAAAAAGTCCTGTTCTTATGTATGGATGTCATGCAAAAACATCATTAAATTGCAATCGATAGCGGTCAAAATGGATATTTCCATTGAAATGTGATACCTGAAATTTTTCGCGATTACAATACTTCCTTTTTACTTCATACAAGGAAGTAAAATGGCCTTTATCAAAGCCAGCATATAATTAAAAAAAAAAAAAGAAAAGAAAAGAAACAAACCTAATATATTGAGCTAAGAAAAATACATTGCTGTGAGTGGAAGCTTTAAAAGAAAGATTAACATACATGTAAAATGGTAATTCAGAAATTGTTTTATGTGAACTTGAAAGTGTTAAAATTTCTAAATAAATACGCATTTTTATTTTCTTCTTTTTACATTTTAAATTTATTAAATGTGTGTGGGGGGGGAGGTGTTCGTATGAATATATACCTTATGATATGGTGTCCCTATGATTCATAGTAGAATATTTGTTGAAATATTAAGTGCTGCTATTATCATCAGAGTAGTTTAATAATTTATTTCATGCAATTAATAGATGGTTTCTGTAATCTTTCCTGTTTTTTTAGGTTTAATGTAACTGTTTGAGCTCAAAATGCTCTTTTTTTGCTTAAAGACTGGGAGTAAATTAATGTCAAGGTTAGTATTGGAAAGCATCTCCTGAAAAAAAATTTTTTTCATTACTTTGTATTCAGTATGAAAAAGTCCAGGTACTGACGTACTGTGTCATTACAAAAGAATGATTTAATTCATTATGGTTGGTAAGAGTTTTGATTTTCTTTATTACATTTAATTGCTTTAAAGGCTCTATTTCATCATATCGGATAATGCTAGATATGCTGATAATTGTTTTAAATGTCTTGACATACAATACAACAAATTTCCATTTTTACTGGCTCTTCTTATATGTGGAATTTCAGTAAGAGTGAAAGCGAGAACAACAGAATTTTTTGTTATAATTTTTTTTCTAGGTGTTGACTGAAAATATTTGAATATGTATTATCTGCAGTAGTTGACAAACAGTTTCTGTGTATTATTCCTCACAGTATAACTAGTTGGTTCTCAAAATTTTCCTTTAATCTGCAATTAAAGTTCTTGATAAATACTTTATTTTCTTATTCATGTTTTTAATTATTTCCTCTGGTCATGATTTATTCTAAATGCGTTAAATGAAGGAATTTATGCAGAATTTAAGTTGCATATTTTGCAGGTCTGAAATTAGCTGTAAAATATCTTCTGAGTTTAAAACACCCTTTAACTTCAGAAAATCAATTTACAGTAAAATTTAACCTTTTCTGATGTCTAAAACCTATTTCAGAATCTTATAAAAATTAATATTTTATGAAGAAAACATAGGGCCCTGAATTTGTCAATACATTTATTCAGAAGGATATAATTTTGGGATCCAGAAGAAAATAAAAGCGTATTTGACCTTAAAAATGATCTCAGACATGTTACATCATACAGAGTTCATGCTATTATAAGCAGGTATAGTGTATTCCAAAAGCCAAGGTAATTTACTACGTATGCTAATTTAGTGAATCAAAGTATGAAATTAATTGAAAATTCT